TCTATGTACCAAGTTTGAATGACAACTGACAAAGCATGTCCAAAATACAACATTTTCAAAAAACAAGATGGCTGCCAGTCGACCATTTTTAATTGAATCGCCAAACCACTGCATGTGCATATGTCCCACATAAGGTACTGGGCACATGCAAAGAATGAACAGAATCTGTCTACAGGATTCTGAAATATGACTCTGAAATTCTTACTTAATTTTGTCATTTTGGCCAATACAGATAGTTTCAGATGTTGCTTTTAGTTTTTGACCAAAAGGTTTGTCAATTTTTATCAACATTTCATTTGGAGAGAAGCAGACTGTAACACAATTATTTCGTTGATGGTGCCAAAAGTTGACATTTGCATTCAAATAGGTAAAGAAATCTATTTATAAAATTTCTCTACTGACATGAGGTATGAGTGGATGCATAGTAATTTTCTTGTAAAGACAAGCTGCCAAATCCCTCCACTGACATGTGGGCATATGTATGAAGACTCAAGGGCCATATGATCATTTTAGAAGAAGCATGGCAAATGTAATTTTCACAACAATTAATATTTTGTTTTGTGATTTTCAAATTCAAAGAAGCAGTGGAATGGCACATGTACATGGGCATTGTCATATCAACTGGTGGGAACTCACCTTTTTTTTTGACATTGGAAGGGTTAAGATAACATTGATGCCAGGAAACTATAAAGTGGTGTGACTAGAATCAGTGTTGATAACAGTGTTTAATAACATTTCTGGGGTGAGCACATACCAGGTGGTGACAAAAATTACATGTGTAACATAAGCAACAACAATCATACCTTGAAATCCATCAGTGCACACACATTGGTAACTGGCTATACCATCAATACAGGTACCACCATTTTGACATGGCTCACTGAGACATTCCACAGATTCCATCTCACAGTTGTCACCACTATACCCAGATAAGCACTGGCATTCATATCCATTATCCTTATCCAAGCATGTACCACCATTGGCACATGGAATGCTGGCACACTCATTTATATTAACTGAGCAATCACTACCTGTAGAAATATACAACAATGTTATCCTGGTTGTTAATAACAGAAATGAGAACTTTCATCATTTTATGCATTCCATATTCACAGCTTGCAATACAAAGCCATGAAAGTCAAATTTGCATAATGCCATGATCAAAGTAATTTGCATAATGCCATGAAAGTCAAGGAAATTTACATAATGTCATGATCAAAGTAATT